CGTTCCACATGAGTGACTTGGCTGAACGGCTGGGTAGGTGTGCGTATCTGAGGGTAACGGAGTGATGTAGGGGGTTTTCTTTTTTGTCTGCCGTCTCTGTTTGGAAGCATTACATGCACAGTGGACAGAAAGCACGGCTCACCCTTCCTCTCCCTGCTCGCCTCGATTCCTGCCTTTCCTCTGCATTTCTTTCCCTGGTCTCTTCCTCTTTTTTTTTATTTACCTCAGTTCTAGCTGTCTGTCATCCATCCACACATGTATACATACCTACAGCTATGCAGCTATCGACCTGTTTATGCCATCTGTCTAGTTTTCTCTCCATTTTTGCTTCTCTAAGCAGGTTACGAAGTCTAACTACAAGTCTTTGTTTGCGTCTCTCCACACGCTATAGATTTTAAAGAAACTTGTCAGACTGAAGGGAGCCTAAAACGTTTTTCTTCACGAACCTCCCCTCAATCTCGCCGCCAAGGAAGGGTTGCGCCGTTTGTTTTAACCGTGTCCTTTTCACCCCCTTTTGTTTCTCGAGTGTAATCTGGAGTGGTGCTGGTTATTTATGACGGCCGCATAGCAGGATGAGATCCAGACTCTTGGAAACGGCGAGGAATCGAGACAGAAACCAGTGCTGCAGTGTTTTGTTTTCGTGGTGTAAATTAGACTCACGACACTGCTGGTATTAGTGGTATCATCACCGTTCAGGGAAATTATCGGCTATCCGCAAAAATGTCAACAACGTGCATCCCTGGTGTGTATATTAAAAACCCCTCCAGTCTTTTTTTGCCTTGTTGCATGTGGTTTTTATATACTGAAGGAAACATCGTAAGTAAAAATAAGCAGGCAACACCATAGACGAGCTGTTGTGTTTGAGCTGCAGAGAGGGATGTTGTAGCTCTGTGCATTCTAGAGGGACATCTTTTAAAGGCAGGGAGGGGTTATTTTCATGGAAAAATATGTAACTTTGATGCACAGAGATGAGCTTTTAACGGTTAAATCAATGACCAGAGAGGGACTTCAAGTGAGAGACCGGCCTGCCTCAGAAGTCCCATTCTTCTGTACGCGTTTCTTAAATTTAAACTGCTACAAGAGAAGTTTGAAACCCGCTGACTTTGGTGACTCCTTCCTACCCACATGCAGTGCTAAGTTCAGGTCAGACAGCCAAAACAATGTTCTTTCATCTCACAGTGAGAGAGAGGCATCCTTCGCCTCTTGTTAGTCTCAGATGGTTACTGTATATAAAGTAGGTGCAGAGGCTGACAACAACATTTTGTGTCAGCCATGAGTTTAATTGCAGCCGACTGATGAAAAACATCAGTTATTTGTATTTTTGTGAAATTCAAATGAGCCCATTGTCTCCCATATATTAGCCTGAGTGATACTGCAGTTATTCTAGTGAGTGTCTGAGGCTGCTGACAACAAATATTTCTGCCTGTTAGTAATTCACTCTAAGCCAACCGTGTGAGCAAATAATTACCGTTTGTCACCCAGCGAGAATTCTTTGGTGCTAAAAACGTTCTGAGAAAGTTCTAGTGATGTTTTCGGCTTTGTTTTAGTTCACAGAATGTTCCTTTAAAGGCCTGAATGTCGTTTTAAGAAGGTTCTTCTTTTTTTTAAATCATGTGGGCATGTTTTATAGAAGAACTTTGTCAACATCCTCAGAATGCTCCAGGCAAAATGTCCATTGTGAATATCAAACATTACAGAAACGTTTTATGAAAAACATCCTGTCATCTGAGACCTCGAGAACATCTTGAAAACATTTCATGAATGTTGGTTCTTCTTTTGTCATCATGTAAAACAATCTGACAACATCCTCCAAATGAAACATTCTGTTCTGGCTCACGTTTAACTTCATAGGAACGTTGCTTAAAATGAGAAATATTCTTAAAATGTTCTGTATTAGTTCCTTTGTAACCTCACAGAAAAATTATGTACAATTATAAATAACCTTAAAACGTTCTGTCCGACTTCACTTTTAACCTCACAGGAACGCTACTTAAAATGATAAATATCCTTACAACATTCCATCTTAGTTTCCTTTTAGCTTTGTAGAAACATTACTTAAAATGATAAATATCCTTAAAACGTTCTGTTCTTGTTCACTTTTAACCTCATGGGTACGGTACTTGAAATAAGAACTATCCTTAAAATGTTCTGTCTTAGTTCCTTTGTAACCTCATAGAAAAATTGTGTACAATTATAAATAACCTTGAAACGTTTTGTCCGACTTCACTTTTAACCTCACAGGAACGCTACTTAAAATGATAAATATCCTTGAAACATTCCATCTTAGTTTCCTTTTAGGTTTATAGAAACATTACTTAAAATGATTAATATCCTTAAAACATTCTGTTCTGGTTCATGTTTAACCTCACAGGAACGTTACTTGAAATGAGAAATATCCTTAAAATGTTCTGTCTTAGTTCCTTTGTGACCTCAAATAAACATTACGTTAAATGATAAACATCCTTAAAACGTTCTGTCTCAGTTCACTTTTAGCCTTAAAGGAACATTACTTAAAATGATTAATATCCTTAAAACGTTCTGTTCTGGTTCACGTTTAACCTCATAGGAACGTTACTTGAAATGAGAAATATCCTGAAAATGTTCTGTCTTAGTTGCTTTGTAACCTCAAGGAAACGTGACTTAAAATGATANCTTTGTAACCTCAAGGAAACGTGACTTAAAATGATAAATATCCTAAAAATGTTCTGTCTTAGTTTCCTTTTAACCTCATAGAAACATTGCTTAAAATGATGAACATCCTTAAAACGTTCTGCCTGAGTTCACCTTGAACTTCAAAGGAACATTACTTGAAATGATGAATAGCCTTAAAATATTCTTTTCACGTTAGATGTTTTCTTTAAAACATTATTAGAACTTCTATATGAAGTTAGCCAATGTTGTGGGAACGTTCCCTGCTTGCTGGGCAGGTTGTAATACATTAACTTTGGGCCAGATGGTTGGAGAGCGCTCACACTGAGCACCAGTGAGTATAAAAGTACATAATATACATCAAATACAAGCATGTATAATAATTCTACGTAAACTTCACCAGACGACTTCTTGAGTTAAATCCTTCGCGGCCTCGGCGAACTGAATTTTCGACATTGTGAAATGTACATTTTTGCCGTGACCTGCGCTGCGTTTCCATTCTGATAATTTAAAAACTTGATTTAAGTGTAGTCTGAGTGTTTTTCATTTTCAGATTCACAGTCTGAGCTGTTCAGAGCAAACACACACACACACACACACACACACTCGACTCGCAAACACGCATTCACACACATACGGTCTGAGTCGCCATGTTCAGTTGGCTATTAAGAGGAGTACCGGGCCAAGAGAGCTCTTGACTCTGACAGGCTCTCCATCTCCTGCCCACACACACACACACATACACACACACACACTCCTGACCATCAGGCAGAATGAGGTGGATAAGTGTATAATTATGGGATGTTTATGACTGTGTTCCATCAGTTAGTGACAGTTTTACAATTACTTGCTTCCAGGGCGTACAGAAATATTTTGACATATTTAGAGCTCAGGTGTGAATTTCTGACTGAAATCAATTGTTGCGCCTTGATTTTAGACGTTACAGAGAAACACACATACACACTGAAGCCTCGGCCCTTTAAACTGTTGCGTTTTATAGCTTTATACACTTTTGCACTCGGGAGAAAGAAAAGGTCAAAGAAATGTCTGCGAGTTTTTCTGTAAACAGGTGAGAACGCATCATGAGTCTTTGTGTCTTTTCTACCATCTCTTATAAAGAAAATGCCATAAATGGTGATAAATGTCTCACAAGCGCTGGTGAAAAATTGAATTTGAAGAAACAGTGAAAGGATTACATTGCGTGGGTACAATCCATCTATTTATGCATTTTCCATAGTGTTTCATAGCTGGTCCAAACCTTAAAATACAATCAAATGTGCTACAATTACTCCTGAACATCCACTTCTACATGCAGTGCAGCAGGCTGTGTAGGTGTCTTATGTGATTTGAGAAATGTTTGCACATTTTCGCTGCCTGCCTCGTATTTTTTTAAGGCCAAACCATCAAACACAATATAATCTGTTACAGTTATTACTGAACATCCACTTATATATATACAGAGCAGCAGTGTGTTTACGTGTGATTTGAGAAACTTTTGAACATTTCAGCCACCTGCCTTGTATTTTCTTCCAGTAAAATATTTGAAAGTTTTGCCACATTTCCCCCTATCTCATACCTTATTATCAGCTTTTAAATATGACTTAAGCCTCGATTTGCAAAGCAAGGATGATACCGAACGCTTTGCACGTCAGCCACCGTATAATCGCAGTCTTGTAGAAACAAGACTTTCGCCTCCAGTCGCAAACTCGGTGTTGTTTCTCTCTTCTTATGGGCTTGCGGCGAGTCTGCACAAAGGAAGGTTTGAAATCTCACAGGGTTTATAAAGTGTGATCCTGCATAAACAGACATTTCCCTAAAATTCATTTTGGTTTGCTTTAGCAGCACACTGGTACCAGAGGTAGCATAAAACTGTGGTTTCAGTTAAGGGGAAACAAATCTAGGGAGTGCTTGTGTTTCTGCTGCTGCTGCTGCTGCTGCTAGAAAAGAGGAGTGATGAAAGTGGCTGTCTGGTGCGTGCTGCCGGCCGGCCTGCATGGGAAGGGAGGGGACGCATCACTGACAGCTACATCTCTCTGTAAGAGGGACGGCGTTATTCCCCATTGAAACATTTGTTGAGTCAGGCACAGTGTGAGTCTTTTGTTGTTGTAGTGTGTGTGGATGTCTCTCTAAGTCTTTGTTAAATCTTATACAAGCACACCCTTGATAAATCTATTGATAATGTGCTGACTGCACTGCGAGAAGCTGCAAAAAAAAAAAAACCTGCATTGCTGCACGCACGTCTTTAAAATCTAAAAATACGACGCAGTGAAAACACCAAATGTCCTCATGTGTCTGTGCTCATCGCCCTGTTTTCGTTCTGTAAACTGTCTGTCCTCTCCTGCTCTACCCAGGTGAGCCTGATGCACAATGGCTGGCCGGTGATTTCGGCATTCGCCGGCGACCAGGACGTGACGCGCGAGGCGGCCAGCAATGGTGTTCTGATCCAGATGGAGAAGGGAGACCGGGCCTACCTCAAACTGGAGAGAGGAAACCTAATGGGAGGATGGAAATACTCCACCTTCTCTGGCTTCCTGGTGTTCCCCATGTAGAGAGGAAGAGGAGGAGGAGGAGCAGGGGGGGTGGAAACAAAGGAGGAGGAGCTGGTGGAAGATGGAAAGTATAACGAAGACGAAGGGGGGGAAAAAGGCAGAGGGAGGAGGAAGAAGAGGGGCACGGGAAGGAGGAAAAAGGACACGAATAAGAGAAAGAAAAAAAAAAAACCGAAGAGGGAACGAGACAACAGACTTCTGTTTGGGACGCTGCAGAGGGAGGAAAGATGAGGAAGGATGAGAGATGTTAGAGAGATATAAGAGCATGATGATTAAACAGGAGTAAAATGAAAGAGGAGTTGCGGAGCCGGTACACAGCAGTGTGTGCGGCCAGCTCCTTCGCTTCCTTTCATCCATCCTTTCATGCATCCTTTTCCTCCCTCTGTTTTTCTCCGTGGCTTGACTGCAGCTTTGGACAGCCAAAACTTTTTTTATTCTCTGCTGAAAGACGCAATTGATCATTTATATGTTCCAGAGTGTTCTAAAGCCCAAGTGTAACCCTCCCTCCCTTCCTCCACGCTCGTTCATCCGATCATTAATTCATCCATCACCATCAACATAAGCTTTGAAGAATGTTTCTTGAGGAACTGCTCCCCACACCCTCCATTTGCTGTGGCCATATTGGTAGTCTTTGTTATTTTTTTTTCTCTTATATTTGACACACATTGCACTGATTTTGGATCAGCTTCTACCCCAAAGCCAAACTAGAATTTTTATAGGGGGAAACGCTGACTCTGATCACAAAATCAGGGGCCGAGGACACTTTTACCTTCCCTGTAAGGCTGTGTTTTATATTTGTCATTACAATTATTGGCTTTTTATGATATCTTTACGGTTTGTTCTCGAAGCGCACATCTGTCTCTTCCCCCCCCTCCCATCCATTCCTCCTGCTGTCTGCTTCCTTGCAACAAAAGCCCCGCGCATACCAGGATTCAACTTTTTAACGGTTATTTGCATTTTGTGGTACATAAACGCGACACTTTTCGTACACAATGCAGGCGGCAGTTCTACTTCTGTGCGAAAATGTAATTGGGAAATCAAATTAGATCACAGGAGACAGATTTGCTGTCTGGCTTCCATCTGGAAACTATAAAATATTGAGTAAATACACTGCTGGCTAATGAATTGTATCAGAAGGCACTGTAGATAAAGTGAGCTGGAATCCTCTTTTTTTTTTTGAAGTTTCCATCTCTAGACAGTGTCGCAGGAGTTTCAGACACACAGTTAATTGTAGGTGTAAGTAAACCTTATCCGGCGTCATTGTCAGTTGATGCAAGTCACACAGTTGGTCAGTGGTTTTTTTCTCTGGCTGCTGTGCAAACATTTTGAATCCACCTTCGCTCTCTTCAGGCATCTTCCACCTCCCCCTCCGTCGGTCTGTCTCCCCCTCTGTTGTCTCCCCATCACTGCCTCAGATACTCTATCTCCCCCCTTTTCTCTCTTCAACTATGCTGTTTACCCACAAGTGCAGATTTCTCTCTCTCTCTGTTCCTTTTTGTATACCTCTGCCATCCCTTCATCCCTTCGCCTCAGCCCTCCTCCTCCTCCTCCTCCTCCTCTCCTGCTCCATCCGTCCATCTTCTGTCCTCCCTCATGTCTGTACTTTATCTGCTGCTGTACTTGTTTGCCTCCCAGCACGGATCCTTCCTTGCTTTTCTTCAATGTTGGACTGTGGACACTGAAACAATTTACAACCATGAACTTTAATTAACATATATATATATATATCTTTAATTTTATTTATATATATATATATAATTTACACAGTATATATACAAATGGATCTATAAATATATCGAAACCTAAGCCACTGTTTCTATTCTCCTGGTATGATGATAATAATGGTAATACTAATACTGAAAACTGAATCTGGTTGATGACTATAATATCTGTATTTCCGTACTTCAGTGTTATATAAAAGAAAAAAAAATATTCTAAAAGAAACTTACTAGTGATTGTGTGGAAATCTGAGGCTGCCATTCTGCTCTTCTGATTAAAGACATGCTTCTTGTTTTTGTTTTGGGTCAAACCAAGTTGTGGCTAAAAAGCTGAGACTACTACTTCTATATATAAAAAAAGAAAAACTATAGCTAAAAAGGACTTTTATTATTATTATTATGATTATTATTATTATTTTGACTGTAAAATACATGTGAATATTTAGACTATGACAATATCCTTTGGTTTATCAATCAATCAAATCAATTTATCTACTGTTTTTTCTTATTTATTTGCTCTGAAGAAATCAATAAAATTAAATGGTACTTTTATTTTTCTTAAACCTACTTGAAGCCTGGCCTGGTAGTTTATTTTTGTTGGTGCTGGCGTAACTTCTGAAAACCAGCAGCAGCCCCAGGTGTGTTGAAGTGTGTAACGGTGGGCGGCGATTGTGTGTCTGCGATTGTGCGATTTGTGTGTGTTTCGAACCGTCTGCTCGTCCTCCACATGTCTGTTTTATTCCACTCAGTCACTCGTAAACTGCGTCTCTAAATCCGATCGATTTGGCTCCTTTCTTCTCCGCTACCTCTCTCCTCCTCCTCCTCCTCCTTTCCCCTCTTAACTTTCTCCTTTTATTTATTTTTATTTTATTCACATGCTCACACTCCCCTTCTCTCTCTCTCTCTCTCTCTCTTTGTGTCTCTCTGTTTCCGTCTCCACTCTGTTGGTTTTTAAGGTTTTGTGGTTCGTTTCTCTCCAGACTCTAATGAGCTCCAGGGGGAAAATTAGTGCTGGAATAACAAGCAAACATCAACATCATCTCTCCCCTCACCCTCCACATCCCTCCTTCCTCCTCTTCCTGCTCCTTCCTTTTCCTTCTTTATCAGACTTCATTTCTTCTCTTAATGTCTCGTTTTCCCGCCACTTGATTCCTCTTCCTGTGCTTCTTCTCTAACTCCCTTCTGTTCTGTATCTCACACTTGCCGTCCTCTTTTCCTTCTTTTCAGACCCATCTCATTCCCTGTTTTTTAACATCTGTTTCCCTTGTAATTGCCAAATTCTATATTGGCAAACGTTTTTGCTCTTAATTACTTTGGAGAAGTCATCTTAAACTGCAGGAACACACCCTTTGTGTTGCTGTTCTGTCTCTCTCTCTTGCTGTAATTCTATTTTTGGCAATAAGGTAACGAGATCATCCTAAAAACTAAAAATGTTTTTTGCAGATTGCATTAAATGATTCCGTTCTCTGATCTGCCACTTTCCTGCTGAAGGTGTTCTCATGTTTCGGAAGCTAAAAGTTACTTGGTTAAAGATTTCTAACTTTGTAAGAGTGAAATGAGAAGATCAACAATATCCTCATGTCTGTACAGTAATAAGAAGCTACAGCAGCTTAGCTCAGCAGATACAGGAAGCATGAGTCTAAATCAGAGACTGTATAAAAGATGGACGTAGCAACCGACCCTGAAAAATGAAGCCAACCCGGAAGTGTCAAAAACCTGCAACATCACTACGTCCACTAGTCCTGGCTCCAAAAAGCCCTGGCTCCCATAGACTTGAATTGGAAAAGAAGTGATCACAGATCATGAAATACTGCATTCCTACAGCTCAGGATTTTTTTCTTATTAGTTTTCATGGTCAAATCCAGAGATCAGGTGGCCAATCTGAAAATAAATCAATACTGAATTTTTTAAAAATCGTCAACATTTTGCGGGGCAAGGGGCGTGGCTGGCTTGATTGACAGTCGGCAGCGACCATACAGATGAAGCCAGCAGAAGGCGGTGAATGTGGGCGGGCAGAGAGGGCCTGCCTCTCAGTCCGTCTGACCAATCGCTGCTCCTATGGCTCCGCCCCCCTCCGACGAAAAAATCCAAGATGTCAACCAGGAAGTAGCAAAACCCTGGCTTCATTTTCTCAGTGCAGAAACCAACGGGTGACGTCACTGTAGCTACGTCCATCTTTTATACAGTCTATGGTATTTTGTTTGTTTTAAAAATTCTACCTTTGCCGCCCTAGTTCCACAGATTATGCTAAGCTAGCCTATTTTTATTTGCACTAACAGTCAAGCGAGTCCAATCAATCTGCTCGTTTAGACAGAAAGTCAACAAGCAAAGTGAATAAATGTCAGATTATTCCTGTAAGTCTTTGCAGAAATGAACAGTGTTGAGGACAGGCAGAGATTTGATTACAGTCTCCTTCTAGTGAAGGTTTTTTACCTTGTTACCGTGTCCATTTGGTGTTTTGGTTGGGTTGTTTTTTTATATGCCAAAGGACACATCATTAGAGAAGTAAACAGTCGGTGGCATGGCTGAGCTTTTCCACCTTGAAACCGCTGAGTAATGACGAATGTCTCACAAACACGGATTCAGATTTCTTGGGTTTTAGACCTGACAAAAATAAGAAACCAGTCCTGTTAAAGGATGATAAATATTCTTCCTTAGAATCAGTTTCCAGCCAGAACATGCAGCAGTAGTGCAAAGCTGTAGAGCCACATATTCTGGAGGAAACAACAGTGTAGATGCACTTAAGTGTTTTTTTAAGGCAGAATGGGATCATTTTTATGTGAAAAAAACATTTAAATCTGTAACTTTGATACACAGTGATGCGTTTTAGGAGTTAAATCAGCAGCTTTAGGTTTGTGATCAGCCATTTAGTCACATTTCAGAAGCTGGATCCAGACCGTGCTTGACATTTGTGCTAAAAAGCATCATTTAAATAATCAGTTATTTATAAAGAAATTGCTGTTGCTCAAGTCTTTTTTTTTTTTAATCAATGAATGTTTCAAGCACAGAGGACAACTGCAGGTGCCAACGAAAAGATATGAACTGACATGATTTAAGGTGGAAAAGTGAATTTATTCTCCAGTAGACTCCACACTGGCATGATTTAGTGGCTCAGAAAGATGTATTCAGTGCAGCTGCAATAACATAAAGAAGTTCTAATCCAGACATATCAATCAATCGTACTGAGAAAAAACAGGATCTACTCAATCTGATTCTCTATTTGGATGAAACGAAGATTCTTATATTTGTTGTTTTTTTGTGAAGAAGGAGAAGACCAGACAT